CAGGGAGCCCAATGCGGGGCTCGATCCCAGGACCCTCGGATCATGACCTGAGCTGAAGGCAGACGCTTAACGACTGAGCCACCCAGGCGCCCCTCATGTCTGTATTTCTATTGATGTAAAATTTATATAGCCCTTACCATTTGTAAGGTACTGTTGTTCTAAGTACTTAAAGACGTAAAGATTTGGGGTTTTCTATGACTTTTTCTTGGACTGCTAGAGCCTGACATAGAAAACTAGATGCCTGAATGGCATAGATGAATGGAATCTAAGGGTAAGAAGGACCTTCAGAATCCAAATCAAAACCTCAATGAGATACCACCTCACACCAGTCAGAATGCTAAAATTAACAAGTCAGGAAATGACAGATGTTGGCGGGGATGCGGAGAAAGGGGAACCTTCCTACACCGTTGGTGGGAATGCAAGCTGGTGCAACCACTCTGGAAAACAGTATGGAGGTTCCTCAAAAAGTTGAAAACAGAGCTACCAAACGATCCAGCAATTGCATTACTGGGTATTTACCCCAAAGATACAAATGTAGGGATCTGAAAGGGTACGTGCACCCCAATGTTTATAGCAGCAATGTCCACAATAGCCAAACTGTGGAAAGAGCCAAGATGTCCATCGACAGATGAATGGATAAAGAAGATGTGGTATATATATACAATGGAATATTATGCAGCCATCAAAAGGAATGAGATCTTGCCATTTGCAACGACGTGGATGGAACTGGAGGGTATTACGCTGAGCGAAATAAGTCAAACAGAGAAAGACATGTATCATATGACCTCACTGATATGAGGAATTCTTACTCTCAGGAAACAAACTGAGGGTTGCTGGAGTGGGGGGTGGGGTGGGAGTGATGAGTAATCTGGTGAATAGATACTGGGGAGCGTATGTGCTATGGTGAATGCTGTGAATTGTGCAAGACTGTTGAATCACAGATCTGTACCTCTGAAACAAATAATGCAATATATGTTAAGAAAAAAAAAAAGAAGAAGAAGAAGAAGGTAGCAGGAGGGGAAGAATGAAGCGGGGGAAATCGGAGGGGGAGACAAACCATGAGAGACGATGGACTCTGAAAAACAAACTGAGGGTTCTAGAGGGGAGGGGGGTGGGGGGATGGGTTAGCCTGGTGATGTGTATTTAGGAGGGCACGTTCTGCATGGAGCACTGGGTGTTATGTACAAACAATGAATCATGGAACACTACATCAAAAACTAATGATGTAATGTATGGTGATTAACATAACAATAAAAAATTTTAAAAAGAAGGGCCTTCAGAAATTATCTAGCCTGTGGTGCCTGGGTGGCTCAGTCAGTTAATCCTCTGCCTTCAGCTCAGGTCATGATCTCATGGTCCTGGGATTGAGCCCCATGTCAGGCTCTCTGCTCAGCAGGGAGTCTGCTCCTCCTTTCACTCTCCCTTTGTGTTCATTCTATCTCTACATCTCTCTCAAATAAATAAATTTTTTAAAAAAGGAAGTCATCTAGCCCAATTTCCCAAGTGCTGCATGAAACCCTGTTGTGTAACCACATCCACCAATGGGTAGTTTAGACTGAACTAACACGAACATCTCCAGTGGGGGCTACAAAATTCAGAAGACACTGGATTATTTCCAGACATCTGTCCATATGGGCAAATGTGCTGAACACCTGTTAGTACCAACTTGGTCTCATAGGAAACTCAAGCAAGATCCAGAGGAATAAATTATTGTCATATGGACTAGGGAGCACAGAAATTGACTGCAAATGTTACCTGAGACCTGTGTGGTACTTGGCTATAAGACTGAATAAGACTTACAAGAATATGACTGAAATTATGGCTGGGTGTGTGGCTGGGGAAAATTCAGTGTCTAGAACCCACATGTCTTACAAACAAATGAGAGTAAAGCCTCAGAAGGTTAGTAGGATCAGCATTTTGCATTTCTTCTCCTTATTTCAGAAGATGTGTGGACATACCAAGTATTCAACTACTCATTCATTCATTCATTCATTCATGGTGTTAGGCTGAAAAATGTACCCCAAAGATCTAAGTCCTAATCCCTGCCATTTGCAAGGTTACCTTATATGGCCAAAGGGATTTTGCAGATGTGATTAAGTTAGGATCTTGAGTTGGGGAGATTATCCTGGATTGTCTGTGTAGGCCCTAAATGTTTTCACAAGGTCATTGTAAGAGTGAGGCAAAGAGATTTGACACAGAAGAAAAGAAAAAGGTAATGTGATGATGGAAGCAGAGATCAGAGTAATATGTTTAGTTGATGAGGGAAGGGGCCACAACCCAAGGAATACAGGCAACCACTAGAAGCTGGAAACAGCAAGAAAACATATTCTACCCTCAGAGTCTCCAAAAGGTAAACAACCCTGCTAACACCTTGACTTTAGTCCAGTGAACCTGATTTTGGACTTCTGACTTCCAGAACTGTTAGAGAAAAAAAATGTGTTGTTTTAAGTCATTAAATTTGTGATAACTTATTACAGTGGCCATAGGAAACTGATACATTCATCAAACATTTATTACTACTGAGGGACAGGCACTGGGCAAGACTCTTGATTTACAAAGAACGGTAACACATGCTGAGTGACCCTTAGCAATTGGCTAATACGTCTGAAACTCAGGTCCTTCACCTCCAAGTGGGGGTGATTCCAGATACTTTATAGGGCTCCTAGAAGGTTTAATAAAAATAATAGAAAGCCTGGCATTTATTCAATGTTTATTGTGAGCTAAATACATTATGTCATTGAATTTTTAAAATAACACTAAGAAGTAGGTACTACTTTTAACTCAGTTTTATAAATTATATTCCATTATGGAAAAGGGGAGTAAATAGTGAGAAAACTAAGGCTTAGAGATTAGGTGTCTAGCCCAAAGTCACTCCACAGCCAGGCTGGGATTTCAGCCAAGCCCACAGAGTTAAAGTACTGCTCTGAATGACCATACCTGACTCACAACAAGCATTCACTCATCGTACAATCCCTTTCTCTTTCTTTCCCTCACTGTCATTAAGAATCTGACTTTTTTTTCCTCATTAATTATACCTTTATTTACCTTTTAGTGGTAGCTCCAGGTTTTACAATATATAGCTTTATCATAGGATACTTTTAAATAATATTACACTGCTCATGTATGTATAAGAAGTTTCTAAGAGTATTAAAGATGTGATCATTTGCCTTTGGGGCAAAAAGATGCTAACTAAGGCCATCTGAGGAGGGCTGGCTTACCATGTGGGCTCAGGTGGGCACAGTGAGTGCCCTGTGGAGAGGGAACATACAGACTGCGAGAGTCGATGATTCCCAAGTACAGAGCTTGACAAAACCCAAAAGGCCAGGCCCAGGCCACCCGAAACCAGACCAGGCAGAAAAGGATTTGCAAGGGACCAGCTTGCCTTCTTCCTCAGTTGTTCCCACTTTCTCTTGGCTCCAACCACTCCAGAATATGGACTCCGCAGGGGCACATCGCAGAGCTACAACATACTCTGTAAAAGCCTGCAGCCCTGTGAGATTGTAGGTCTCATCTCTATCGATATCTTCTTTGGTGAAGTTGACTTCCATCTAAAAGACAGAGAGGACCCTGAGCTGGATAGGAGAACCCCTGTTATCTTTCCATTTTTCTTCTCCACTCCCCAACCATTTCAGAACTAGAAGCACTGTACCTAAAGTTTTAAAAAATATAATTTTCATAAATAAACATCCATGCATGCCTGGGGATCATTTGTGCCTAAGCAGATGTGAGTCACCCCATGAACCACCACCTTCCCCATTTCCTGTCTCTAAGCTTGGAAGGCAGAGATTCCTGCCTCTGGGCTGGACATGAGTGAGTAGTCTTGTTGTTCTGGAAAATACAAGGTGGAGTCCTGGGACCCAGGCAACCCAGGCCTCAGTTCAAACACAGCAGGTGACTCCAACACCTAGGTATAAGGCCTCACAGAACAATAGGCAACAGAAACTTTAGTGGCATCACGTTCAACCGCAGGTCATGGACAAGACCTCAAAATTTAAGTGACCATGAACTACCTTAGTAGTTCCTTGTTATGAGCAGAACTGGGATCAGAACACAGATTTCCTCCCTCCTAGACACTTTCCCTTTACCCAAATCTTCCACTGCAAATTATTGGTCTTTGGGTGACCAGTAGGGCTGCTAAGGATCTCAGCAGCCTGGATGCATGAATTCATTTTGACATTCTCTTGGGGCATGGAGGGGGAGAGGTAAATAAATCACTTCTCCTTTCTAGACCTCAGTATCCTCACTAATAAAATGAGCACATTGCTTTATATAATCCCTAAAGTCCCTTCTGGATCCAACTTTCCAAGAGAAACTAAAAATTCAGATACTTGTTTTTGAGCATGATCACAGTTGCTGCAATAAGAACTTTTAGCTGTTGGTTTATATAAACTCATATCAAGTTGATTAATAAACTGCACTAATGGGCATATCTATTTTGTGAGTATGCCCACTAGTCCCATAAAACCTTGTGAGAGAAGGAAGTCCTGACATTTCCCATATGTATATAACAGCTATGAAAATAAGTACATAATTATAGGTATTGGGCCTAAAGGAAATTGGGCAAAATGACAATGTGTATGTGTGGCAAAAAGCTGAACATTCCAGCTGCAGATGGACACTGCTGAACTCCCAGCCTAGTAACATGGTGCTGGGAAAAAGATGTAGGAGCCAGAGGTGAGGAGAGTTCCACTGTTGAATCCAAAGTTCCCTGAGCTCCCTCCTCCAATCACCCGTGGAAATGTTGCAATGGCAGACCACGGTCACTGGGACAATCCGTCATCTCTGGGAGAGTAGCCTCCCCAACTTAAGCCTAGTTATGGGGCCCAGGTGAAACCAGATTAAGACCTTTAGAAGAAAGCCAACCCACGTGGTGACTTCCATACATGAATCAAAATGAAAACTATATTAATCTACAAAATAAATGCAAAGAAGTCTAATAAAGTTCTATTTTCCTTTTAGGCTCTTTTAAATATATAATATTCTTTTAAAACAATCTTTCAAAGTTCTCTTCCTGCATTACTAGTATCCTCAAGCGTATGCTTGGCCTGTGTGTTGGGGCTCCTCGCATTCATGCTCATAAAGCTCTGTCTAATGTAACTATGCTAGCATGTTCTGTTCAGCCCTACCCCCAAAGCAAAAAAAAAAAAAAAAAAAATCTGCTCAGTCTTTCAAACAGTGTGCCTGTCTGAAAGGCTTCTTTTAGTTTGGCTTTTTTTCTGGGCATGTGCCTTTGGCCCTCACAAGGTCCAGGACAAACTGATCCTCCCTATACAGGCTTAACTAAAACTTCCCCAGCTCAACACAGACAAAGGACTCCTAACAAAACACTAATTAACTTCATCAGGTTTGTTTCTAACAATCTATACTTTGTGCCAAATCCTAGTTCGCCCAAAGTGTTTATGTTCTAAGAGATGAGTCAAAAGTGTTGGTACAAAGCCTAAGCCTAAATCAAACTCTTTTTTTTTTTAATATTCTATTTATTTATTCAACAGAGAGAGACGGAAAGAGAGGGAACAAAAGGGGGAGTGGGAGAGGGAGAAGCACGTTTCCCGATGAGCAAGGAGCCCCGATGCAGGGCTTGATCCTGGCATCATGACCTGAGCCGAAGGCGAACACTTAACGAAGGAGCCACCCAGGCGCCCCTGAATCAAATTCTTAAAACAGTCTTGAGATCCTTTGGCAGAGTGCTCATATGGTTCCATTTTATAAAGGTGGAAACTCCTTAGAATAGGCAACAGGAAAATGGTCTGGAGATTGCTAAAATATGGTCAAATGAATGACAGCTTGGAGTTAGAAAACCTGGGCTCAGGTTTGCAACTTACAAACCTTGCAATCTTGGACAGGTGATTTAAGCTGTCTACATCACAGTTTCCTAATGTGTAAAAATAAGAATAGTGATGCCTCATTGACAAGATATATGCAAGAATTAAATAGTCTGGAGTATAAGAAGGCACTTTGCAACCCACACAGCATCAAACAAACCTAAGTCTTGCTATATGGCCATAGTGGGTATTTTTTTACAGTCTAATGCAGGGAGAGATGACTTTAAATGACTGTGCTGAGTGTTAAGTGCAGTGACAGAGGAGGAGCACCTAGCTCAGGTTCTCAGAAGGAAATATGTCAGAACTGAGTTCTGAGACATGAACAGATTCAACAAGGTTTGAGGAAGGAGGAGAAGGGCAAAAGCAGAGACACAGAATAGTGAAACGACATAACATAAGGGAAACCAGCAATTTAGAAACACTAGAGAAGCAAGGGCAGGATGAAAGATGAGGTCAGAGGGATCGATAGGGGCCAGGTCTTGGAGGGTTAAGGATTTGGACCTTTCTCCATGGAAACGTTGGGTTGGTATATTTGGGTTTATAACTGATGGTGTTTGAAAGCTGAAAGGAGAAAGATACTATATAATGGAATACAACAATGAAAATGTAAAAACTCCACCATTATACCACATGGATGAACCTTAAAAGTACAATATTGAAAGAAGCCAAATATTTACAAAATACAAAATGTATGGATTCCTATCATATCATGTCTCAGACTATGTTGTTCAGGGATGCAGCTTTAAATGGCAAACCCATAATAAAAAGTGAAGAAGTATTTACCATGAAAAATCAAGATAAAAGCTCTAAGGAGGTATGGGGATTGTCTTCAGGAAAGGACAGGCAGGGGACCTCGGCATGCTATTTTGGACCTCCCTGGTTTTAACATAAGTGCTGACTTAATAATAATTCATTAAATGTAATATTTATGTTTTGTTCACTTTTCTAAATATAAGTCATATATCACAATTTCATAAAAGGTTGGAAAAATAAAAAAGGAAATGGCCAAGCCATAGAATCTCTGGCCACCAACACATCTAGATACAAACCAGAGTGGAATGCAAAAGTAAATTTCTCACTTTTTAATATGTCCCCATGTTCAGAATGCAATACGCCTAGAGTGAAACACTTATCCATTCTAAAAGGCCCAAATGGGAAACTGGGAAGAAAAGTACTCACTGTTATCTTTTATTTTTTAAGGTAGAAAATGGGGAAAAAAAAGATTCCAGGTCAAAAAAAAGGTTATCAATAATTCTCTTCTTTGGGCCCGGTAATAGAAACATTGTAATGGCATAACTTACCCAGTGGGCACTATTTACTGTTCTGAATCGAAGACTGTATTTTAAAGTAGATGAAAAAGGAGCCAACACAGGCCTTATCCATGTTATTTGAAGCATTCGTTTGATGCCCAAAACTGATTTCACACTGAAAATCTCAGGTGGTTCAATTTTCACTGAAAATAAAAATCATAAATTTCTCACATTTGCAAAAAGATCAGAAGGTGCTAATAACATCCATCTAAAACTGAAAAAAAAAGAAAATTAGAAAGGAAATGATAATGCATATTTTGTAACTCGCCATATGCAGATGGCATTAAGAAGGCAGGGCAAAAGGAATGGTGCCACCCCCACTTCTCCCACCCACCCCCAACCAAAAAAAGGAATGGCCAGTGAGGAGAAGATACATTTCTATGATTTTTCTGCAAATACACCTTTTACTGATTGGTTCAGATCTTATGCCAAGAAGAAAGGAGGTCAAAAGAAAAGACTACACAGCTAGAAAATGGGCTGTTTCTCTTATCTCCACTCCCCTCAACCTCTCTTTCCTCGACCTCCAAAAGTGTCCAGTAGAAAGCACCTCTCATTTCCCTTGAACACTACAAACATTATCACTCAAAATCTCTCTCTTTCAAAAACGTAATATTTTTCTGGTTTTAAAAGTAGCATATGGTCATTCCAAAAAAATTTTTAAATATAGAAAAATACAAAGAAAAGTTTAAATCATCCATAATACCATTAACCAGAGCCATTATAACATTCTGGTGTATTTCCAGGCTTTTATCCTATGTAAGTATTTGTATATTTTTTAAACAAAATTGATATTATGCTAAATAAAACCTCTGTCTTCTTAAATAACACTATTCATTCAACATATACCCTCTTGCATTAGAAATTCTAGAAACAATGAATTTAATAAGGTTGCAGGATATAAAATTAATATACAGAAATCTGTTGCACTTCTATACACTAGTAATGAAGTAGGAGAAAGAGAAATTAAGAAAACAATCCCACTTACAATTGCATCAAAAAGAATAAAATGCCTAGGAATAAATTTAAACAAAGAAGTGAAAGACCTGTACTCTGAAAACTATAAGACACGGATGAAAGAAATTGACGATAATGCTAACAACTGAAAAGACATACCATGCTAACGGATTGAAAGAACTAAAATTTTTTAAATGCCCATACTACCCAAAGCAATATACAGATTCAATGCAATCCCTATCAAAATAACAGCAACATTTTTCACAGAACTGGAAAAAAAATACTAAAATATGTATGGAACCACAAAAAACCCCAAGTAACCAAAGCAATCTTGAAAAACAAGAATAAAACTGAAAGTATCACAATCCAAGGTTTCGAGCTATACTACAAAGCTATAGTAATCAAAACAGTATGGCATGGGCATAAAAACAGACACATACATCAGTGGAACAGGATCGAGAGTCCAGAAAGAAACATAAACTTATATCATCAATTAGCATATGACAAAGGAGGCAAGAATATACAATGGGGAAAAGACAATCTCTTTGATAAATGGTTGGGAAAACTGGACAGCTACATGCAAAAGAATAAAACTGGACCACTGTCTCACAGCATGTACAAAAATAAACTCAAAATGGATTAAAGACTTAAACGTGAGACCTGAGACCATAAAACTCCTAAAGAAAACACAGGCAGCAATGTCCTGGATATCAGCCTCAGCAACATTTTTTTAGATATGTCTCCTCAGGCAAGGGAAATAAAAGCAAAAATAAACTATTGGGACTTCATCAAAATAAAAAGCTTTTGTGGAGTGAGGAAAATCATCAACAAAATGAAAAAGGCAATTTACTGGATGGGAAAAGACATTTGCAAATGATACATCTAATTAGGGGCTAATATCCAAAATATATAAAGAACTCATACAACTCAACACCAAAAAAACCCCACAATTTGAATTAAAAAATGGGCAGAAGACCTGAATAGACATTTTCCAAAGACAGAGGGCCAAGAGATACATGTAAAGATGCTCAACATCACTACTAATCAGAGAAATGCAGATTAAAACCACAAAGAGATATCACCTCATAGCAGTGAGAATGGCTAGTATCAAAAAAACAAGAAATAACAAGTACTGGCGAAGATGTGGAGAAAACGGAAGCCTCATAGATATCCACAACCCTTGGTGTACCTACTATATCCTTGAGCCTTGAGTTTACTTTTGTGTTTGAATCTCTTCTGAAAAAAAGAGGGGAGGGGCTTATCTTTTAATAATAGAGTATATAAGAATAAAAAATGATACTTACTTATGGCATCTAAATTCCAATGTGTTATATCAGATTTAATTATACCATCTGGATTTTGAGCTTCCACTTGAATGGTGTAATTATCTGGGTTTGTTATTGTTGGAGGAAGAAAGGAGCAAGAAGCATGATTTCCCCTTGTAGAATTATCAGTTGGGCAAATATCACTTTTATGTCCATAAGAGCTTTGAAGGAAAAAGCAATTCAACATGAGTTTAACACAGCAGTTTTGAAATAAAGCCATACTTAATATATTAAGCATGTATTTATTAGTTTCACTCTGGGTTTCTCTTGAGGTATATATCATCCCGAAGATGATGCCCGTCTCCAAATTCCCTCCTCATCTCTTCCAAGGAGAGATCAAAGTTACCCGCGTCTTGCCTGAGATGCTATGAGCCATGAAGACTTCCTTGGAACTCTGTAAGTCCATCAAAATCTATGCTTGTAACACATTTCCACTTGGTAAGAAATACTGACTAGGATCCTGAAAACTCCAGATTCTAGCCTTGAGAAGTTATTCTTAAAAGAAAAATAAAATCAATGAGGATTTGTTATATAAAGTATGGTAGATACATAAATAGAATTAAAAATGTAGTTTTTAATACATCTAGAGTTATTGATATGGAAAGATGCCCATACTCTTATTGATGGTAAAAGAAAAAAAAGGATGTGTATTTTGTACAGACTAATCACATTTATATAAACATATATTTATATAACTATTCTCAGAGATGTCTGGAAAAGTATTTATCAAAATGTTAAAGTTGTTACCTTTGGTGGTGGAATTGCGAATGATTTTTTTACATTCTTTATATTTTTCAGATTGAATTTTTTACTACTGCCATATATTGTTTTCAGAAAGCTCATTAAATTTTTTTCCTAGACATATAGATAACTTAAATCCTATCAAGTTATAACTTAATGAAGACAAGTACAAAGATTGGTAGGAATCAGATGTGTGGTTATAGCCATAGTTCCCATGGCTGTGGGGATGAGGTAGGAGATGAAATAGGCAGAGAATACAAAAGGCCCCACTTTGCAAGATGCCAATGTTGGCTGGGGCTGGGGGCAAAGGAGCAGAACTTAAATGTATAGAATCATAGAATTTTGAAAGTAGAAAATTTATAGGCTTTCTATGGTTGTTGTACAATATAAAAACGGCCTCCAGAGCAATGTTGGGTCGTGGTTACAAGCATGGGCTCTGGAAGCTGACCAGGTTTGAATCCTGTGCCTTGGGCAAGTTTCCTAACCTCTCCATGCCTGAGTTTTCTCATCTCTAAAATGAGAATGGTAATGTACCTATAACATAGCACTGTTATGAGAATGAAATGAACTAATATACATAATATCAGCCACTTAGAAATGTTACTATCATTGTTATTATTACTATTACGATAGCTGAATATTTTTGCCTTTATTCATGTTGTAACCTTTAAGAAATAAACTTTCTTCCCTTTTCTGCACCTCTAGGGCTCCTTCACATCTCAGTTCAAAAGTCACTACTTCCTTAAAGGTATCCCAACTCCTCTTATTGTTCCCCAAGGAAAAATCCCTTCTTATCATTTATGAGCATCAGTAGGTTTTTTTGTTCATACCACTGACCCACCATCATCTGTCCTCAGGGTTGACCATCCACAAGAAATTCTCCCATTCTACCTGGAAGAGATATTCTCAGTGATAAACTGACAAAAGTACAAACCAGCCTGGGAGTCCTGGAGAGCCCAGCAAGCCTGAGGCCATTGACATGGATTGTATACAGGCCTAAGAACAGCTAGGTGTGGGGCACCTGCGTGGCTCAGTCAGTTAAGCATCTGACTTTGGCTCAGGTCATGATCTCAGGATCCTGGGATAGAGCCCCACGTTGGGCTCCCCGCTGAGCAGGGAGTCTGCTTGACCCTTCTCCCCACCACAGCCTCTCCCCTCTCCTCCTCTCCCAGTCCCCCTCCTCACACTTGTGCTCTGTCTCTCTTTCAAATAAATAAATAAATAAAATCTTAAAAAAAAAGAACACCCAGGCGTTTCCTACTTCTACATGACCAGTGGGTGAGAATAATGATAATACACGGGGAGTGATGCAAGGGGCAAAATGACTCCTTAAAAGAGAAAAATAGGAGTACACTTACTGGTTTCCAGATTTTCGTTCTACTCATACTTTCTATTAAACATTGGGCCTTGAACTGATGAGTCTGGGAGAAGAGAAGACACTTGGACCATGGGTTATTGGGCCTTTATCACTCTGATTTTCAGAAGCAGGGCTCAGCAAACTAGGCCTGCAGACCAAATACAGCCCATCTCCTCATATGGTGCATAACAACCATGGTTAAATGGTTGGGGAAAATACATAAAAAGAAAAATACTTTGTGGCATATGAAAATTATATGAAATTCAAATTTCAGTGTTCACAGATAAAGTTTGTTTTTTTTTTTAAAGATTTTATTTATTTATTTGAGAGAGAGAATGAGAGACAGAGAGCACGAGAGGGGAGAGGGTCAGAGGGAGAAGCAGACCCCCCGCTGAGCAGGGAGCCCGATGCGGGACTCGATCCCAGGACTCCAGGATCATGACCTGAGCCGAAGGCAGTCACTTAACCAACTGAGCCACCCAGGCGCCCCACAGATAAAGTTTTATTGGACAATAGTCCGGTCCATTGGTTTACATATTGTTTAGGCAGCTTTCCTGGTACAGCAGCAGTGGTGTTAAATAGTCTCACAGAGACCCAATCTCCTCTAGGCCTAAAATATTTACTATCTGTCCCTTTATAGAAAAAGTTTCCTGGGATGCCTGGGTGGCTCAATCGTTAAGCGTCTGCCTTCGGCTCAGGTCATGATCCTAGGGTCCTGGGCTCGAGCCCCGCATCCGAGCCTCGCATCCGAGACCCGCATCTGAGCCCCGCATTCGAGCCCCGCATCCGAGCCTCGCATCGAGCCCCGCATCTAGCCCCGCATCCGAGCCCCGCATCCGAGGCCCGCATCCAGGCCCGCATCGGGCTCCCTGCTCTGCGGGAAGTCTGCTGCTCCCTCTCCCTCTGCTGCTCCCCCTGCTTGTGCTCGCTCTCTCTCTCTCTGACAAATAAATAAATAAAAATCTTTAAAATAAAAAAAAAAAGTTTCCTGACCTCTGTTTTAAATCATCTCTCTGATGTATCACTGATACATGAGTAATGCAAGGAATAGTGTTCGCTTTTATCTTTTTCTTCTACTGTAAAACATGCAGTAGACTTCCCTGATAACACTAGTTACCAATTTTCTAAGGAGTGGGGAAAAAAAGAATATGTATGAGATCTTGTATTTAAAAACAAAACAAAAACTTGGAATTACAGACTCTCTTTCTGAAATGGAAAAGATTTAAAGATCATCTTTCAATATTTCCTAATGTGGACTTCCTTATTCTTAGGGGAACATGAAGGACATAAAGGGTTTCATGAGCTATTTTCAAAATTTCAAAAAACTCCCTGCACAAACTCACTAAAACATCTAGCTTTTGGCTAGAATTATAATAAAAACTTTTAAATTTTTATTCTTATTAGAATAAAAAGGGATGCTTGAGGTAGTGAAAAATTTGGGAATCACTGTCCTGGTGGAATACTGTTTGACAGAGGTCACACAGCAAATTAGTGGCAGACTGAGAAAAATTTGCTCCTTAGTTCTGGGTTTATAACCCCACTTACTATAATTGGGTCCATGAAGAAGGAATAGTTTTATGACACATTCTGGAAAGAGGGCGAATATAGCTGAATATAGTAAATAAACAGATTTTTCCACTGTGCTTATAACTGGTGACTATTCTCAGCCAATTCAGTGCCTCTCAGAGAAGGTCATCATGAATCTACACCCCACCCCACCCCCCGTAGCTGCAGATCCTGTCACACACTTACAGCAGCCAAGGTGTCACCCCAGACACTGGGCGCAAATAGGGGTCACCCAGAAGCTGTAATGAAGAAAACGTTTCACTTCATAAGTGATTTGAATCCTGAATGAACCAGGAGCCTCTGCCTCCTTCCCTTACTCCCACTGATAGCACACAAACTCCCATACTTACTACGTTCTCTTCACTCTGTACCATGTATAACTGGCTTCTTTCTCTGGACTCCAGGTGCAGGTAAAATTTTCCTCGTAGTAAAAGACACAGGAAATGTTCTCAGGCTTAGCTGGGAGAACTATATAAATAAATAAATACATACATACATACATACACAAATAAATATATAAATAAATGCATACGTACATACACACACACACAGCGAGAGACACAATCATTTCATGAAAATAAGCAGATCAAAAGCTGGTCTTTCTTGGTTAGTTTATACATATTATAAATTCTCCCATTCAGGACCAAGGAAAGAATCTAACTCCCGCTCTTCAATTATTCCCCTTGAAGAACTAGATTTTTGCCTTTCAAAAAAATTATATTCTCACTCAAAAGCAACATTTGAGAAGCAAAAATCATTAAAATACCAGGCAAATATGAAGTGTTAGTGAAATACCAAGCAAAGCATCAAATGATGGAACCGGTCTGGGTAACTGGGCAATGGATGATATGTGGAAAAGGGAAAAACACAAAATGTTCAACTATGCCACACTTCAACCTTATGTATCAATAATTTTTCCCCAGAAGATTACAATAGGGAAAATTTCTGAAATATATTCATCTGTATTTCATAGCTTATAAATCTTGCTCTTTGTAGTTTCTCACCCAGTAACACCTATCCCTTCATAGGGAAAATAGATACAATCTAGAATATGGATCTAGACCCTGCAAGGGTCCAGAGATACAATCTATTGGTACATGAACTTAAAAAGGAAAAATTTTTCACATACCTATTGTTAAAATTTACAGTTTCCTTCCATCATAAATGTGGTCAACAACCTACAGTTGTATCATTACTTGTTACTTTGTCACCATTAAAGTCAGAGTATTTTCATATTTCAGCTGTTGCAGGTACCTTGATGTATCGATTAAGAAGCACATACAGTACTGTCACAAATTTGTTTCCTTAATACTTTCTTTTTCTCTTTTTATTTTTATTTGCATTTATTCTGTGCAGAATTTACTCCCAGGCCATAAGTTTTTGTTTCTTCCGTTTCTTCTGGGATATCTTTTTCTTCTGTGCAACCTCTTCTCCTGGTTTAGGAACAATCTGCTCTTGTTAAGTAAGGATCATCTCTATGTGGCAGGGAGAGCTCATGTATGGGTTAGTCCAACCATGAGCCCTGGACGTTCTGGTGACTTGGGAGCTTTGTTCACCTGGATGTGCTCAGTGACCAGAGAACCGACATCTAAACCCTTAAGTTCAGCATTACTCTCTGCATTTTTAAGCATGTGCAGTAACAATTCAGCACTCTTCTTGGGCCACCGACCCTGTGTCCAGCCCCACTGTTTGGCCTGGGCACACCTACCAACTCCACCATTGTAGCGATGGAATGGCACACACTGCTTCTGCAAAGTGACGTCTTTCAGATACTTGGGGGCTTTTCGGATCTGCAGACCCTTGATGGCCTGGGTAGTTTCACATATGTTCTTAAAGTGAACACGAAGATTTGAACCTCTTGATTTGCATGATTTCGTAGGGTTTTCTGGGTCAAGCGAATGGCAAGCTATTTTCAGAGGTCACCTCAGGCCGCTTAGGGGAAGAGGAAGAGCAGTGGCTCCTGGGAGAATTCCTGTTTCCTTAATACTTTGATAACATTCTTTCATTATATTTGAGTTCCTTTGTAATCCTATGTATACTATTTATGCACTTACACATATTGAGAATGGTCCAGATGTTTCACCAGATGCCCAAGGGGTTAATCATACATGCTCATGCATGCACATACACACATACATAATTGAGAGCAAAGGCAATTTCAAACTAAGGGCAATGTTCAATTCTGAGACTCAAACTAACTTCTTTTTGAGTCTTCGGTAAAATCAGTCTTAAGAAGCAGGCTTTTTTTTTTTTTAAGATTTTATTTATTTATTTATTTATTTATTTACTTATTTATTTGACAGAGAGAGAGAGACAGCAAGAGAGGGAACACGAGCAGGGGGAATGGGAAAGGGAGAAGCAGGCTTCCCGTTGAGCAGGGAGCCCAATGCAGGGCTTGATCTCAGGACCCTGGGACCATGACCTGAGCAGAGGGATCATGACCTGAGCCGAAGGCAGATGCTTAACGACTGAGCCACCCAGGCACCCCAGAAGCAGGCATTTTTTTTTTAAAGATTTTATTTATTTATTTGAGACAGAATGAGAGAGAGAGAGAGCACATGAGAGGGGTGAGGGTCAGAGGGAGAAGCAGACTCCCTGCCGAGCAGGAAGCCTGATGTGGGACTCGATCCAGGGACTCCAGGATCATGACCTGAGCCGAAGGCAGTCGCTTAACCGACTGAGCCACCCAGGCGCCCCAAGAAGCAGGCATTTTTGAGAGAGGAAGACAACTTAGGTTAACTTTACATATCAAAGCAAAGCTCTAATCCATCCAGGAAGAAAGCCCCTACCAGACAAGAAATAGGAAAAAGCCCATCACTTCTAGCAAGTAAAATACTGATGGGGGTGGGTAGGGAGACAATGAAAGTAAGAGTAAGGAGCTCAGATGTCAGTGTTCTTGATAGAGCAGTAAAAACACGCAGATGGATTTGTGAAACTAGATCATCTGGGCTGGTGACTTACTTCACCAGGCACAGCCTGGGGCAGGTCACAAGCCTTTAGCCTAAAAGAAGGCTCAAGTTACACTCAGCTTCAACTCCAACATAATGCAGAAGTCCTAACACTGCAATGGCACAGCTCTTCAGAGAAGCCCCACACAGGCAAGTGTAGCATCCTGGGATCCAGAAGTCCCTGGTATCTCAGGGTGGGGAGTGGGTATAGACGTGTGAGGTTGGTCCAAGCCTGGGACTCAGATGAAGAGACTGCTATGCACAGGGGACTTCAGAACCGCAGGAAAACAAATGGGACATGAACTTCAGGAATAGGTGCCAATATGATGCCCCAAAGTCTAGGCAAAGCCAGCTGTCCTGCAAAGGAGGCATGAGACCAAAGCAGGCAGTCCAGAGAAGACCAGAAGGCAACACAAAGACTTTCTTACATAGATTCACAATCCCTTGCCAGAGGTTCTTCATTCAGTCATATAAACCCTGCTCATGTACCCAGACACCATCTTAAAAAGGAGCAGGAGAAAGGCAGGAACTCTGGAAGGTGGGCATTTACTCCAGAGGGACTGAATTAGCTAAAAAACACTATAAACCATAGAAAATGAGCTAATGTTAACAAATAAGAGTGCTACCCACTCCCTCCTCTTCTTCAACCCTGCCTGGCTTTCCAGGGGAGAAGGAACTTTTGGAATTGATTGGCTTGATCATAGACTATAAGGATGTTATATTTTCTCTGCACACCTAACTAATACTGTATTTATTTCACCTCTGTCAGAGGTATTACCTTCTAACGAAAAAGCAATAGTAAACGGTTCTATGAAATGAGCATTATCCACAGGGGAAAAGTAGCCCCTGGAAATGATAAATAAGAATGAGGGAGATTCTAGAGGGGAGGGGCGTGGGAGGATGGGTTAGCCTGGTGGTGGGTATTGAGGAGGGCACATTCTGCATGGAGCACTGGGTGTTATATGCAAACAATGAATCATGGAACACTACATCAAACACTAATGTTGTAATGTATGGGGATTAACATAAGAATAAAAAAAAAAAGAAAAGAAACTCTTAACTATAGAGAACAAACTGAGGGTTGAGGAAGGGAGGTGGGGGGGATGGGCTAGATGGGGGATGGGTACTAAGGGGGGCACTTGTTATGATGAGCACTGAGTGTTATATGTAAGTGATGAATCCCTAAATTCTATACCTGAAACCAATTTTACCATATATGTTAACTAACTAGAATTTAAATAAAAACTTGAAATTAAAAAAAAAAAAAAAGAATGAGGGAGAGCTAGGTGCCTACATGTTGTGTCAACACTTCCAGCTCTTTCTTGAGAAGTTGCCTTCCTCTGAATGCTGCACCCCATCGTTTTTTTTAAGAGTTTATTTTTATTTCATTTGAGAGAGAGAAAGAGAGAACAAGCAGGGGGGAGGGAGAAGCAGGCTCCCTGCTGAGCAGGAGCCCAACATGGGGCTCGATCCTGAGACCCTGAGATCATGAGCCGAGCTGAAGGCAGACGCTTAACCGACTGAGCCACCCAGGCCCCACTACTGCTGCACCCCATCCTTGAAGCACCCATTAGTTAGCAGTGAAGTCAAAGATTTTCTATCTTGTGCTGTTGGGAAGATGGCAGAGTAGGACCCTCACCTCGTTCCACAGATACAACTAGGTAACATTCACATCAGCTTGAATATTCCAGAAAAAGACCCAAAGACTGAAAGAACAAACCCCATAAACAAAGTAGAGAAAAGGCCACATCGAAGAAGGCGGAGATGCGATTTGAGACCTAAAGGGACTGGGGCCACCCACAAACAGGAGGGAGCTGGGAGTACAGTGAAAGGCAAGAAATAGACAATCACACTGGGGACTCAAAATGGGGAAGACGAACCCCCATAACATTTGGCTTTGAAAACAAGAAGGGCCTGAATTTGTGAGTTCTTACAAACAGTAGGACTCCAAGCCTGGAATTCTTAAAATAAGGTGTTCGGCTCTAGGAAAGCTCTGTGGGCATTAGGAAGCTGAGTCCTCACCCTTTAAGAGGCAGCATGACGGGGGCGCCTGGGTGGCTCAGTCGTTAAGCGTCTGCCTTCGGCTCAGGTCATGATCCCAGGGTCCTGGGATCGAGCCCCACATCAGGCTACCTGCTCCGCGGGAAGCCTGCTTCTCCCTCTCACACTCCCCTTGCATGTGTTTCCTCTCTCGCTGTCTCTCTCTCTGTCAAATAAATAAATAAAATCTTAAAAAAAAAAAAAAAAAAGAGGCAGCATGACAAGCAGCCTAAGCAGATACAGTGAAGAACCAGCAGTTTGAAAACCACTGGGTGGCAGGGGTTCCTGTGTGGATCAGTCACTTGGGTGTCTGACTCCTGATATCAGCTCAGGTCATGATCCCAAGCCCTGTGTCCAGCTCTGCACTCAGTGCAGAGTCTGCTTCAGATTCTCTCTCTCTCCTCTCCCTCAACCCCTCCCCACCCCTTGCGTGCTCTCTAAATAAATAAATAAATAAAATCTTAAAAATAAAAAAAAGGA